ATATATATATATATATATATATATATGTATATATATGTGTGTGTGTGTGTGTATGCATACACACAGGCGCACAAGCACACCCCCACAGACATAAACATACACACAAACATACACATACAGACACACACACACACACACATATATATGCATATATATCAATATATATACACACATATACATACAAACTGGAGTCCCACCCTCATGGTCCTGCGTTCAAATCCCCGCCGCGGCAGTTGCAAAATGGCGCCTTGAAAGGTCAAACGCAGGTGTCGTAGGGGAAGTCACTGCCCTGACTCAGATAGCAGCGTTGGACCGCGGTTGATTAGGAAGGGCATCCAATCAGGAATACAGGAATACAGTTATCATAGAATATTGATTAGATTAATGAACTCATTTTCTGTCGACGAATTCACAGAAAACATTTTTTTTTCTTCTCTAAAACACGTGTATCAGAGTTACTACACTTTCTATATCACATTTCATTCCCTTCATTTAGGCCGATATCCCAGATGCCAGCGTGAAGATGTCCTCGCCCGTCTGTAGGATATTCTACGGGCGAAAAGTGGCGGGGCAGCGCCTGAGGAACCGCGTGCTGGTGGTGACCCAGGACGGCGCCTCCTACCTGGCGAACCACGTCATCATCACGGCCTCCATCGGGCATCTCAAGGAGCGACACGACAAGATATTCACCCCCGCTCTCAACTCGGCTTACCGAAGCGCAATGGCTGTAATGTTTCTGTTTCCATTCCTTGGTTGCATGCCTATTGTGGAGGCACTGTTCGCCCTAGATAGATATGTCTGATATTAAGAATAGGGATAACCGTAGGTGCAAATATTAATTTGCACGTTGTTAACATCCCTTGTTAACATTTCTTTTAGTTCGTGTGGCACTATCTAGAAAAGGGTTGTATATGAAAGTAGTTGACACTGAAGCTTGTATAAAACAGCAACCCACCTCAGAACATTATTACACTTGTCAGGTGACGAAGCTGGGCTTGGCCGATAAGGTGCAGTTGGGCTGGGAGAGCCCGTGGTGGGGAAGCGGCGCCTTAGACCTCAACGTCATCTTCACAGAAAATATGCCCGGGGAAATGGTGAGGAACACAAACGAACTAAAATGATAAAAACACAAAAAACGTTTGTGTCATTAAGCTGTCAGCATCTATTCCAAAGAATAATATCAATGTCTTAATTTTACGTATAATCACGTGATAATGCAATAGTTTCAGTGAAATATATGGATCAAATCTCGAAATATCATACTTTTTAACATTTATACAAAGGGAATTTAGGAGGCATATTGCTCCGATCTCATATTTTCCCCTCGTTGGGAAAAGGTTTGAACATTTTAGATAAATAATAATAATGATAATAATAATGATAATAATAATAATAATAATGATAATAATGATAATAATAATGATAATATTGATAATGATAATGATAATAATAATGAAAGTGATAAGGATTAATGATAATAATAATCATAATATTAATAATAGTAATAATGATAATAGTAAAACTAACCATATAGACAGTCTTGGCTTCAGGGGATAATGGAGTTCATAACGATCCATCAACAACCGAACATGTTACAAGCGTTCGTCCCAGGAAACTACGCCAGGCAAATGGAAGCCCTGTCGGAAGACACTGTAAAGCAACATCTGATCACACACTTGGCGACGGTCACAAATCAAATCGTTCCCGATCCTACCTTCTTCAGGAGGTCAGTATCTTTTCTTCGCGTGGGTTATTTGAAGATGTAAACGATATATGTTGCAAGCCTCTTATCAATATTTCCTAATTACATTTCAGGACACAGTGGGAGGATAATGTGTGGATGAGAGGCTCCTACAACTCGTACGTGACGGTGGAGGGAGGCCTCACAGTTATGCCTAACCGCAGACCTTTGGCGAGAACTGTCAGGAGGAACGGCAAGCCAGTGAGTTCCACACACTCACAGACATCCACCCGCACGCACGCACTTACACACCGATTCTTTTTTACATATATTTACATGACTAATTAATTATGCGTGCGATTCGAACTGCTTTAAGAACTGCTTTTTTCTGTTTTGTGTCAGCTGTTGTTGTGGGCGGGCGAGCACACCCACACTACTCGCTACGGCAGCGTCGACGGAGCTATGGCCACAGGAGTACGAGAGGCCAAGAAAATCATTCGCTACAAGAGGAATAGATAGTGACATAGCATGACAACGGACCAGCTGCAGAATAGTTTACTGGAATATGATTGTGACCATGAGTACTGTGATCAGCCTCCTACACAATGATATCAATGATAACAAACATGCTAAGCAATGCCAATCAACATCGAATTTTCATACTTTACCGGAATTAGAAAAAAAATCACATTAGGGCCTTAGCATTTCTTGTTTTACTTGGCTTTGTCGCGAATTTGGTATTATATTGTCTTTTAACTTTATTATTCATCTACAGTGTTAAATGATAAAAAATGCTTCATTAAAAATGTAATGACATGCAATGGCATATTAGATATATTGTGACTGGTGTAATAAAGAGGTTGCATCGGGAAGTTTATCTTAAATGTTCGTACGAAAAAAATCCTCAGGCGTTGAAAAAAAAAAAATCGGTATATATATATGTATATGTTGATGTATATATATTTAAATACATATGCACACAATGTATAAATATATATATGTATAAATGTGTATTATGTAAGTATATATATGTATACAGATATATATGTACATGTATACATGTATATATGCATACGTACACACACACACACACACACACACACACACACGCACGCACGCACACACACACACGCACACACACACACACACACACACACACACACACACACACACATATATATATATATATATATATATATATATATATGGTAAAACACTCTACTGTGTTGATACTGTGATGTATATATATAATGTATATAAATATATATATATATATATATATATATATATATATATATATATATATATATATATATATATAAATATATAATGTATATATATATGTCTATATACCTGCGTAACGTATTAATCGGATTCTTATCAGGAGAAGGGAAACATCCTCAGTGCTATAACAAAAACCAAACAAGGATCATTAATTCTAAATCGAGTCAAGCCAGGTGTAGCTGGTAATAGACACTAACCAGAATATATACGCAGTTGATAGTTCACATGGTAACAGGGTGGTTGCAGTGACAGTACTGTTTAGCTCCGGCATCATAGTTACGATATGGAGTGACTTAACAATGACCAGGTCAAATTTATTAAGCTGGGAGATCAAGATTTTGACATCGGTATTGTGGAGAAGTTTGACTGTAGAGAGAGGGAGTGCTCTCTAATTGCTGAGAAGGAGGGTTTGGTCGGCTGTAGGCCTGTCCTGCTAGTTTTGCCGTCGTGTTCGAGAATGCGGTGGCGAATGGACCATAATGATTTTATTAACAGAATACCTTTAATCGTATACATTTTTAACAGAATACCTTTAAACGTCTATATTTTTAGCAGAATACCTTTAAACGTCTACATTTTTAACAGAATACCTTTAAACGTCTACATTTTTAACAGAATACCTTTAAACGTCTACATTTTTAACAGAATACCTTTAAACGTCTACATTTTTAACAGAATACCTTTAAACGTCTACATTTCTAACAAAATACCTTTAAACGTCTACATCTTTAACAGAATACCTTTAAACGTCTACATTTTTAACAGAATACCTTTAAACGTCTACATTTTTAACAGAATATCTTTAAACATCTACTTTTTTTTTTTTGCTGGTGCACATACCGACGTACCCAACATCTGTGCAATAGCTCTTGGTGTAATGGCTCGTACTCACGCCAAATGTTCGGATGCCGAAGCCATATTTGAGGAAGTGCTTCGTCTGTCTTGTGTATACGCTTGTGCGTGCGTTTATTTGTTTTGTTATATTTATACACATATATGTGTAATTATATGTATATATACAAATGTATATATGTGTATGTCTATATGTCTATACATGTATACTTATACGTGTTTATATGTATACCTATTCGTTTATACAGATATACCTATACGTATATATGTGTATGTCTCTCTATTCGTTTCTCTCCGTATGTATGTATATATGTAAGTATGTGCGTGTGTGTGTGTGTGTGTTGTTATATTTACACACATCTGTAAATATGTGTATTCAAATAAGTATATATATGTATACATACACACACACACACATATATATATATATATATATATATATATATATATATACATATATATATTTATTTGTCTCTTCGTCTCTGTATGTATGTACATGTGTGTGTGCGTTAAACACACACATGTATATACATACATATATAGATAGATATATACATATATGTATATATATACATATACTTACATACATATGTCTATGTAAGTATGTATGTATATATACATATATACATACATACTTATATGTGTCTGTGTATGTATGTATACGTATGCATATATATGTAAACATGTATATATAGATGCATATATGTATATATAAATATAAATCTCTACATACATATGTATATATGTATATATATTCACACATACACCCACATATTTATACATATATATGTATATATGCATATATATACATATGTATATATATTCGCACATACACCCACATATATATACATATATATATATATATGCATATATATACATATGTACATATATATGTATATATACATACACTACAAAATCAAATGAAAATTTACAAACAAAAATAAATTCTACAACGGATTCGATCTTCAGCCAACTTGTCTTATTACGTGTTCGGAGGATGCCAGCTTTTGGAAACCCATCACCATAGGACACAGTTTGAAAATAGGAAGCGTCCTCCTGATGCAATATTTTCATGCGATTAATCCGGCTGTAGTGAAGGCAAGAACCGCCCACCAGGTGGAGTCGAACCACTCTGACGCTAGTCAGCTACAGGTTTGAAGCCTGCACCCCGGACCCCCGAGGCTCAGTTGGGCGTGAAGAGAGGGCTGCCGGATCATATTTGTACCTGCGGTCTCTTGCAGGTGACACAACTGGACACATAATCAAGTATACAATTTGAGAAAAAATAGAATTTTCTATATGTTATATAATTAATGCATAACTTCACTTATATTTACATACACATTAAATCATATCGAAATAACCGTGGAATGCTTTTGTGTGGGTTTGTGTCTGTCTGGTAAAATCTAGAGGACGGGTCAAGGTATCGACATCGAACCTATTACGGGTAATTAGAAATATTCATTAGAAGATTCTCTCTTCATATGTTCGGTCGGAAAATTCCTCGAAGCGCATACATGATACCATATCCGGTGAGAAAAATTGAAAGCTAAAGTTTGAAATTTAACAAGAATATGTATATATATATGTACATACATATATGTGTGTGTATGCATGGATGTTTGTTTGTATGTATTCATATATATACATATATCTGCATAAGCATATACATATATCTACATAAACATATATGCATATATCTGCATACACATATATACATATACCTGCATAAACATATACATATGTCTGCATAAACATATACATATATCTGCATAAACATATATACATATATAATACATATATGTATGTATATGTATAGTAGTAGACATCCGTCAGTCATGGGAGACTATGGAGTTTCGTTCTGGGTGGTTAGTCTTGAGCAGCGTTGGGTATGACTGGAAAGTCCGATGCGGGAGCGGCAATCTCTTCCACACTTGACCTAGGTGAAGCCCGTTCCCGGTCGTTCTGCCTGGCCTTTTTCCTCTGTCGTTTTGTCTCGGCCTGCTGCACGAGTGACTGTTCGAAACTGGACAGACCTTTCTGCACAGTCTGTCTCCAGGCCGCCCGATCTGAGGCCGCAACTTCTCACGTAGTGAGGTCGATATCCATGGCCTTCAGGTCCCTCTTGCAGACGTCTTTGTAACGTAGTTGGGTCTGCCTGTTGGCTGTTTGCCTTGTGCCAGCTCACCGTAGAGGAGATCTTTGGGGATCCTGCCATCGTCCATGCGAACCACGTGCCCCAGCCAGCGCAAGCGTCTCTGCTTCAGCAGTGTGTACATGCTGGTGATTTCGGCTCTCTCCAGGACGCTGTTGTTTGTGATCTTGTCCTGCTAGGTGATGTGCAGGATGCGGCGGAGACAGCGCATGTGGAATGCATTCAGATTCCTTTCCTGTCGGGCTCACAGGGTCCAGGACTCGCTGCCGTATAGGAGAGTGCTGAAGACGCAGGCTCTGTAGACCTTGATTTTGGTGTACTCTGTCAGCTTGCCGTTGGTCCACACCCTCTTTGTCAGTATGGACATGGTCATAGCTGTTTTGCCAATGCGCTTGTTGAGCTCCGTGTCGAGGGAGAGGGAATCGGAGATAGTGGACCCCATGTATACAAAGTCATGGACAACTTCTAGTTCAAAATCAGAGATGCTGATGCTGGGTGGAGAGTTCACATCCTGTCCCATGACCTGTGTTTTCTTCAGACTGATGGTGAGTTCGAAGTCTCGACAAGTGTCGCTGAAATGAGTCATGAGCTGCTGGAGGTCCTCAGCTGAGTGGGCGGTGACTGCTGCGTCGTCTGCAAAGAGGAAGTCACGCAGGCATTTCAGTTGGGCCTTGGACTTCGCTCTTAGTCTGGAGAGGTTGAAGAGCTTTCCATCCAACCTGGTTCTGAGGTAGATGCCCTCTGTGGCAGAACTGAAGCCATGTTTCAGCATGGCGGTGAAGAACATTCCGAACAGGGTCGGCGCAAGAACGCAGCCCTGTTTCACTCCGCTTCTGATGTCGAAGGCATTTGATGTTGAGCTGTCAAAGACCACTGTGCCCTTCATGTCATCATGAAATGATTGGATGATGCTAAGCAGCCTGGGTGGACATCCGATCTTGGGGAGGATTTCGAAGAGGCCTCCTCTGCTGACGAGATCGAAGGCCTTCATCAGATCAATGAAGTCTACAAAGAAAGGTTGCCACTGTTATCTGCATTTCTCCTGCAGTTGCCTGATCGAGAACACCATATCGATGGTAGACCTGTTGGCTCTGAACCCACAGTGATTCGGGGTAGACTCTCTCTGCTAGAACTTGGAGCCTCTTTAGGATAAGGCGAGCGAACATCTTCCCAATGATGCAGAGGAGAGAGATGCCACGGTAGTTGTTGCAGAAGCTCCTGTCACCTTTGCAGCACTTCAAGACCTCGGCAGGTATGCCGTCCTTCCCGGGGGCTTTTCCGGTGGTAAGGGAGTCCAGTGCTTTGCTGAGTTCATCGGGGGTTGGTTCTGCATCCAGCTCCTCCAGCATTGGCAAACACTCGATGGCATTTAGGGCGTCTTCAGTGACTATGTTCTCCCTGGCGTACAGCTCAGAGTAGTGCTCTACCCAGTGCTCCATCTGTTGTGTCCGTTCCTGGATTACCTCCCCTGTGGCAGACTTCAAGGGGTTGATTTTCTTCTGTGTTGGGCCCAGGGCCTGCTTGATACCATCGTACATGCCCTTGATGTTGCCCGTGTCTGCTGCCAGCTGTATCTGAGAGCAGAGCTGAAGCCAGTAATCATTGGCGCATTGCCTGGCACACTGCTGGGCTTTGCTGCAGGCGGCCCGGAGGACTTGCAGGTTGCGTTTGGTGGGGAAGGCTTTGTAGGCTGTCAAGGCATTCTGCTTCTCCTCGATGACTGGAACCATTTCTTCTGAGTGAGCCTCGAACCAATCTGCTGACTTACAGGTCTTCTTGCCAAAGGTGGTCATGGCAGCATTGTACACGGTATCTCTGAAGTGCTCCCACCGCTTGGGGGCACTGGCATCAGGAAGGCCTGGGACGGATTCCTCAAGCACACGTGCAAATTCCTCCACTTTCTCTGGGACGCGCGTCTTGTTAGTGTCAATGCGAGGCCTGATCTGGATGCTGGGTAGACGGCCGCGTCTGGTAAGGATGAGGTCAAGTTGATGCCAGTGCTTGGATCTTGGCTGTCTCCAGGAGACTTTGTGTTGGGGTTTCGTTTGAAGGTGTTTGTGGCAGCAGAGTTCCAGCAGGCGTTGCCCGTTCTTGTTCATCCTTCCTTTGCTGAATTGACCCAGACAGGTGGGCCAAGAGTAGTGATCAGAACCGACTCTAGCGTTGAAGTCTCCGAGGATGAACAGTGACTCGTGTTCCAGGATTTTTTCTATGGCGGCGCTGAGGTCGTCGTAGAATTTGTCCTTAGCTTCAGCTGTGGAGGACAGTGTTAGTGCGTAGGCACTAATTAGGCTGACTGGTCCTGTTGAAGAGTGAAGCTGAAGGGGCAAGATTCGCTCAGTTCCCTCTGTAGGTGGAATGATGGATCCTAGGAGGGTGTTTCTGACCGCAAAACCCACTCCATGTTCCCAGGTCTCGTCTGGTGGTTTCCCCTGCCAGAAAAAGGAGAAGTGTCTCTCTCTCACAGATCCTGATCCTGCAAGTCTGGTCTCTTGAAGAGCGACGATGTCCATCTGCAGTCTGCACTAGTTCCATGTCGATGACTGCTGTTTTACGAGCATCACTGATTTCCTGTAGGTCGTCAGTGAAACCTGGTGTCATTGTTCTGACGTTCCATGTGCCCATCTTTAGGGCGAGTGTTTTCTTCTGTCTGTTCTTGTTGCTTGGTGCGAAGTTGACGAACCGCTTGTCGGTTTTCACCCTGAACCCCACACACCCAATGAGGTTAACGGACCGTGGCAAGACAGCACCTTATTGGCTGGGGGCTGCCCAGCTTAAGGCGGGTGATAGCTGCCCAATGGGGCGCGATGACCTCTCCCACTGTCAGAAGCAGCCCCTGGCGTCTGGCTCTCCACCAATCGAGCGATGACTTATAACCGGTAGACTGCTGGTTCCCGTGTTGTTACGACGCTGTGAAGCGAAGCCGGAGTATCTTCTCCATTGCGCAAAGCCTGGGTAGGTTGATATGGGGGAAAAGCTGTTACCCATGCAGCAGGTCCCCCCTCTCCACGTCGCTGAAATGTTCCAATGGAAAGGCAGAAGCCAGTACGCTTGGTTCCAGCGACGTCGCAGGATGACGTTGAAGACAACAACGAACTGCCTTAGGGGCTCCGACTCCTGATTTTTCCTCAGGGCTTACTCCCGAAGCCCTTTCCTAAGTAGGATGCACCCACAAGGCAGCGGAGGTTTGAATTTGGAGTTCACTCTCTCCTAGATGGACTGCCGACCAAGGCTATATATATATGTATATATACTGATAGGTATCTATGTACATGTATTATGATCTACACATATATGTATATATACATATGTATATATATGCATATATACATATATACATATATGTATATATACATATATGTATATATACATATATGTATATATACATATGTATACATATACATATATATGCGTGTGTGTGCCTGAACATGCATACATATTTATACACATGTGTGTGTGAATGTGTGTATATATACATGTACGTATATATGTACATATGTGTGTTAAGTGGTTCTTGCTCTTATTTGTGAGACGACTATGTGAGGCATGAAAATGTAACCCTTTTAGCAGGGATGGGGATAAGCACCGAAACTTAATCTTTGATTTATTGGTGTTTTTTTTACGGTCACTGTAGATCTGTCTCCCAAGCGGTTGCCGCAGACTCGGGTGTCTCGGGTGGTTGCGGGGCGATCTCCACTCGGGCGGGAGCCGTGACTCGTGACACCGGCATGAAGGCAGGAGCGTGAAGGGCGAGGAATGCACCACCTCTCCGACGTCACCTCGCTTACGTCACAAACACTCTCAAAAACAAAGATCACATTTCAATATACTAATATAGTAATTAGTATCACCTATTAATATATTTTCCACCACGACCTTTCTAACCGTTCCGTTTATATAATTATATAAAATGTAAATTAACTAATTGTCTAAGCACTACTTTGCGTATGGCGCAGTTGCGTATAGTTCCCTCATTTCAGTCTCTTTCGTTTAGTTTCAAAGTTTATCATCTGTCTAGTTAACTAAAATAAATGTTTGTTATTACTTTATATAGGAATATATTTACAATATGTATATATATATATATATATATATATATATATATATATATATATATATATATGTGTGTGTGTGTGTGTGTGTGTATCTGTAAATGTGTGTTTATATATAGAGAAATATGTTTATGCAAATATACTTATATACATATGCATATATATACATATCCATATACACATATATACATATACATATATAAATAGGTATGCATGCGTGTATATATATATACAGTATATATGATATACTTATATATACACACACATATATATGGGTGTGTGTGTGTATGTATGCATATATCTATCTATCTATTTATATATACATGTGTGTGTGTGAGTTTTTGTGTACAAAAACATATGTACACACAGACACACACACGCATACACACACATATATATGTATGTGTGTGTAAATATGTATATATATATGTGTGTGTGTGTGTGTGTGTGTGTGTGTGTGTGTTTGTGTGTGCGTATATGTGTATGTGCGTGTGTGTGTGCATGTGTGTATGTGTGTGTGTGTAAATGTGTGTACTTATGTATACATATATATCAATAGATACATACATGAATGTATATATACACATATATCTGTGTGTATATGAGTGTGTGTATGTGTGTGTTTGTGTGTGTGTGTGTGTAAATTTATGTATATATATCGTATATATATCATATATACATACGTATCCATATGTATATATATATTATACATATATATTATATATACATACATATACGCATATGCATATATATATATATATATATATATATATATATATATATATATATATATATATATATATATATATATATATATATATATATATATATATATATGCATATGTGTAAAAAAGATATATGTATGTATGATTGTACGCATACATAGACATATACATATACATATGTATATTATATGTATATTTATATATATATATATATATGTACACACACATTTATATGAGCGAATGAAGATTCGAAATAAATGTGACACATTTAAGGTAAATGGAATCTTTTCTTGAGGATTTATTTTGTTTCACTAGATGAATTAATAAATCAGCGAATTTACGTAAGTGAAAGAAAAATGCTAGAAACTCTGTTAACTAGGTAATTGCCTAATTTCAACTTTCAGGTCAGTTGGGATTTGGATGACCTTACTTCGTTGGTAGAAGTTAAAGCCTTCCCTAAACTCTTTGACCTTGACCCTCCTCTTGCGAACTGATTCAGCTCTTGTCTCTCTACCACTATAGATTCTTGACCACTATAGAATCTTGTCAAAATTCTGTCTGGGGAGGAACTCTTAACGAGCTTCGAAACGTTTTGATTGATTTCTTTTCTTATTATGGCTTTTTTATTCATTCGTATATATAAATTTGTATGTTTATGTATACATACATGCACACACACATAGACGCACATATATTAATGCATATATATATATATTGATACATATATATAGATTAATACAGATATATGTAAATATGTCAATCACACGCGCACAAACAATTGATACATATACACTTATGTAAATATGTAAATCTATGTATATCTATATATATGTATGTATCCATATGCATGTGTAATATACATTTATACATATACATATGTAAATATATGTGCATGTGTGTACTTTCTTGATCTTTCCCTCGTTGTTCTACTTGCATACACATTATATATATATATATATATATATATATATATATATATATATATATATATATATATATATATATATATATATATATATATATATATATATATATATATATATATGATTCATCTTTTGTTATTGGAAAATAGACTCCACCCTCAGGTTCTAACATGGCTGGTATAATCAAACAAACGCTGATTTTATAAAATACCACTGAACGAGGACAAAAATGTTTTGAAGACATGTCTTGGTTTATCAGAATGACTACAAAATCAAATAAAAAATATTAATAACATATGATTTATTACGGATTCGAACTTCAGCCAACTTGTCTTGCGTCTTCAGAGGATGCCGGCTTTTGGAAACTCATCACCATAGGCCACCGTTTGAAAATAAGCAGCGTCCTCGTGATGCAATATCTTCATGCGATTAATCCGGCTGTAGTGAAGGCAAGAACCGCCCACCAGGTGGAGTCGAACCACTCTGACGCTAGTCAGCTACAGGTTTGAAGCCTGCACCCCGGACCCCCGAGGCTCAGTTGGGCGTGGAGAGAGGGCTGCCGGATCATATTTGTACCTGCGGTCTCTTGCAGATAATGACCCGAATTGGACACATGATCATGTATACACTAAGAGAAAAAATATCATTTTCTGTATGTTATATGATATATGCATAACTTTATATTTACATACGCATTAAATCATATCGAAATAACTGCGGAGTGCCTTTGTGTGGGTTTGTGTCTGTCTGTCTGGTAAAATCTAGAGATTGGGTCAAGGTATCGATTCGGAGCGTTTACGGGTGATTAGTAATGCTCGTTGTAATGCTTAGAAATTGCAACACATATGTGCGAAACGCATGCTTCCAGAAGATTCTTTTTGGCATATCACCTCGGATAAAACTATGGGAGCACATGCATGATGCTCACTTCCAGGAAGGAAAACCTGAAAGCTAAGACGACGATGGAAAGCGTCATATCTTTAAAGGAGCTGTAATTGATATTGTTTTCACGCGCCCGAACACGTTACGTATTTCCCTGGTGAAGACAATGCGGCCAACTGGGCTCTTGATAGGTTTTTACACTTTTCCTTGCAAGGACTATACCAAGTTTTACATTGGCGAAATCGGCACAGCTTGGGGCATAAACGTGAGGTAGGAGCGCCGGGGATTCAAAAGCGTGTTTTATTGATTTACGCGATGAAGGTTACAAGCTTAACAAGAAAGACGCTGAATTGATTCATAAATCGGCGAATTCTTTTGAAGGAAAAATGCTTTGAAGCTCTGTTGATTCTAAAAATTGCCCAATTTCAGCTTGGTGCTGGTCAGTGGGGCTTGAATAACCTGACTTCCTTGTTATTAAGAAAAGCCTTCCCTGAACTCTTTGATCATGGCACACATGTGTATATATAATTTGTTATTGGAAAAAACTCTTCCCTCAGTTTCGGACATGGTATAATCAATCAGACGCTGAAAGAGGACATTTTTTAAAAGACATGTCTTCGTGTATTGGAATAGACAGTTCTACAAAATTAAATCAAGAATTACTAATGAAACATGATTTATTACGGATTCGAACTTCGGCCAACTTGTCTTATTACGTCTTCAGAGGATGCCAGCTTTTGGAAACTCATCACCATAGGCCACCGTTTGAAAATAAGCAGCGTCCTCGTGACGCAATATCTTCATGCGATTAATCCGGCTGTAGTGAAGGCAAGAACCGCCCACCAGGTGGAGTCGAACCACTCTGACGCTAGTCAGCTACAGGTTTGAAGCCTGCACCCCGGACCCCCGAGGCTCAGTTGGGCGTGAAGAG